AACATTAGAAAGCCAACCAGGTGGCACCTCACATTACCCAAGATTAAGGGCCAGACTAATGCAAGGGGGGATTATAACCTGCATGGCAAAATGAAACTTTATAAAGTTCGATTCTGTTTTCCTTTAGAGACAAGCAGCTTCTCCAAACTTTTTCAGGCCTAGAGCATAAAGTGCCACCCCTACATCTTCTCAGCCCAGACAGATGTACAGACTATACAGATGCTGGCCCCCGGAGGTCAAAGTCTAGTTTCATTTCCACAGGGAAGGGATGGGGAGGTTGGGGCCAAGGAGGGATGAAAAGAAGCCTGGACATGTCTTTTACCTAATTGTATTCCCCTCCCCCCACTGTTTTGTCCTGTACCCAGTGAGATGATGAGTTGGGTGATGTGGCTGTTCCATCTCCTAGAGCTAACTTTGAATAAAGCCTTTTTCCTTTTCACTGAAATAATTGTTTGTCTTTGTTTTGGTCAGTGGTGAGCAAACCAACCTAAGCAAATGGGCTAAGTGGCCATTAGTAGGTGCATACATCTACTAAATAATTGTTTACTTGACATAGCAAGTTCATTGGGTATCTTATATATTTATTCACTAAATCTGACAACTATACTTCTGGCTATCTTCTATTGTCCCCATATTACTCCTGTTAAGTTGTATTTCTTTCTGTTACAATATTAGAAATGTTTTTATTCCAAGCCACATTTTATCCTCCTCTTATGTTATATGTCATGGTAGACATTTGATTTTTTAAAAAAAGAAAACATTTGCTTTATTAAAGAATGTGGTTGCATCATCTGGTCAGTCATTTCTCAAAAGGGCCTATCAATGTCAACTTTTGGGAATATCTTACATCTGTGTAGCCGGCAGATCCTAATGATAGATAGCAGTGTGCAGAAAATGGTCTCTGCTGAGTAATAAGAGCAGCTACTGTTGGCATTCTCCATTCTTTGTGGGATAGCTCTTGCTTAACACTGGGTAGAGAGGCTGCCAGTTCAAGTCTATAGAAACATTTCTCTAAGATTCATCCACTTTTTTTGAAGTACCAAGGATTTAAACCAGGTTCTTCTCACTGAACTACATCCCCAGCCCTTTTTATTTTGAGACAAGATCTTGCTAAACTGCTGAGTTGCTCAGGCTGGACTCAAACTTGCAATCCTCCTCCTGCCTCAGCTTCCTGGAATGCTAGGAATACAGGCCTGTACTACCAAGTCCAGTTTAACAATGAATTATTATACCCACTGTTCTGGACACAGAGATCTTTGAACATTTATAGGAGGTCCATGTGGGCATTTGTACATTTGTTATATCTCACATAATGTCCAGTTTCAAAACTGAATTCATGGCCTTCTGTTCAGATTCATTATTATCCTGTGATAGCCCTGGATGAAATGATATCATTTTCCTTCATCCCTGTGCAGCCCATCAGTACATTCTGTTGACTAATCCTCAAGTGGCTCTCAAACCTCTAGGTATGTTTTGGTAACCAGGAAAACTGGGAGCCTGAACTCTGGCGTTTAATTGAACCCAGCCCTGAGTCCTCACATATTTGCCCAATTTGGAGGCCTGGACTGTTGGTTCAAATTCTCTATGCCATAGTTTTGAAATCTTCCTAATGATAATTACAAGGAAGTGGCTTTAGTCATTAAATAAGTTATCATAATAAAGAGGAAATATTTTTTCAGACTATTCTTGTTTCATTAACATTTTCCTAAAAGCAATATGAGAATTTGCGATTATGGACATAGTATATATCCATGTCCTTTTGTCAAAACACAGCCAGCTTCATGGCTATGCGAGGTGGCTCATGCCTGTAATCCCAGTACTTGGGAGGCTGAGGCAGAAGGATTGCTGAATTTGAGGCCAGCCTGGGCTACATAGTTCAAATCCAGCCTGACCTACATAGTGAGACCCTGTCTCAAAATCAAACAAACAAAAAACAGCACACACACAGCTTCTAAAAGTATAAAAGTAGCTGGGTGTGGTAGCCAACACCTGTAATACCAGCACTCTGGAAGGCTGAGGCAGGAGTATCACAATCTCAAGTCCAGCCTGAGCAACTTGTAAAGACCCTATGTCAGTGTGAAATAAAATGATATAGCTCAGTCCCACACCCTAGATTGAATGCTTAGTACCACATACACAAATGCATGCATACACATATGCACACACACACAAAGTATAAAAGTAGGGCGTTTAATTTGAATATACTACAATAAATATACATAATAAGTGATGATTCAGGATGGATATAAAAATAACTAGTTAGCCAGGCATGGTAGCATATACCTGTTACCCCAGCACTTGGGAGGCTGAGGCAGGAGGATTGCCCAGAATTTGAGGCCAGCCTGAATTACATAGATCTTATCTAAAAAAAACAAAAATAATAATAGTTGTATGTTAAAAAGATATTAAAAGAGATTTTACTTTTGGCAGAGAATGGGAACTATTACAAAATTTAAAGGCTAGAAAGGGCCTTGGGTTAACTTTCCCATTGCTGGACATTTTATCCAACACTCACAGCTTTAAGAAGGAAAGATTTAAAGGCTCATGTTTTCAGTGGATTCAGTCATGGTCAGCTGATTCCAATGCAGAAACATCATGATGGATGTGTTTGATAGGGCAAATCTGCTCAGTTTATGGTGGCCAGAAAAAGCAGGGGAAAAGTGCCAAGAGGAAGGGGTCAGGGACCTGACTTATACCCAAGATCACATTTTCATGACCCATCTAGATACACACAGAAGTACACTTCTCCAATATGCTGGGCAGTCCCAAAGCCAGTTGACACCTTAACCCTAACTGCCATCTCTCACTCCTTGTCAATTTGTAATCCAAACACATCTCCTTAACTAAATCTCCAAATATAGACAATAGCAAGTCCATAATTCCACCTAACACAATGGAATTACCCAATACACAACTGAAAGTGCAACAATCCTTTCCCAAAAGTTGCAGCAGTTACAGCATTTTTCAGAAGCTCAAGTCCCAAGTCTCTTCTGAGACTCAAGGCAATCACTTAGTTGTAACTTTTGTAAAAAAAAAAAAAAAAAAAAAAAAAGTTTTATAATGCTAAAGTACAATGGCACAGGGTAAACATTTCCATTCCATTCCATTAGAGGGATAAGAAAGAATTGGGCCAAAGCAAGACAGTAACCCAGTAGAGCAAACAAATCCTGTAGCTCCATGTCCAGCATTGAGGGCATGTGGTGATGAGATGCAAGCTCCATGCAGGCAGCAGTTTTCCTCAGCAGATATTTCATGTTTAGCATCTCCAGTTTACCATGTCTCAACTACACCTTTGATTTATTCTCACAGGGGGTTACTTGCCTGATTTCCAAGATCTTTATTTGAAATTGGTTCCCCTGACCCTACAACTCTTACATTCTGCATGCCAGTAAAACCAGCATCATGCAGATGAGATCAAGGTCTGTTGTCAATGGGAGCAGGAGCCAGGCTCCCTTGGGCTATGGTTTAAGCAGCCTCTGAGTGCCTGGATGGCTGCGCACAGTGAAATAAATACTAGTAATCTAATTAAAAATAGGCCCTTCTTGAACAAGAGCCCTGGGGGGGTTTCTTCTCAAATGAAAAGTAGACATTTTTGAACCTTAGAGCCTACAATGGGTGGAGTCTTACTGATTTCTAAGGTTCCCTCAAGGTATCTTTCTTCTTGTCCATGGGCAAAGTACTTGGTTTCTTTTTAGTGGTGCTAATCTCTTCAGCAGCCACACTACTTTTGGCCCCAGCTTTACATGTGGTTTCCTTCTGGGTGAACATTTAAGGTTTTCAAATTTTTCTGCTCTGCCATTTGTCCCTGATTCTCACTATAAATCTGGTTAAATGCAGCCTTGGTACCCATGGCACAGCCTGAATGCTGTGCTGTTTTGAAATTTCATGCACTAGATCGATTAATCTCAGCCTCCTATAGTCTCAGGACATGGAAAAAAAAAAGATAAATTTTCTGCTAGGGTATAATATATGTGGCCTCTCGTGCAACAGTCAATGAAGTCCTTGCACCCAACTGAGAACTCCTGAGCCCAGACTTTTCTGTCCACATTTCTGCCAGAATGCTGGTCTTCTCACCTTACCAGAGTTTTGTTTACACCCACCAAGTTTTGTTTACAACATGCTAGGACTTCTCTAGCCCATATCACCAAATGTTTTCAAACTCCTCCCTCAAACAAATTCCAAAGACTTTTAAATTATATGTTCAGGTACAGTCACTGCAACAACCCTGTACTCAGTTTTCTGCATTAGTTAGCTATCCTGTTGCTGAACACAACACCCAACACTCACAACTTCAAGGAGAGGTTTAATTTGGCTCACATTTTAAGGGGATTCAGTCCATGGTCAGCTGATTCCAAGGCAGAAGTGTGGTGGGAGGGTGTGTTGGAGCAATGCTTCATTCTTGGCAGCCAGGAAGTAGAGCAAGAAAACAATGCCAGAGAGGAAAGAGCCAGAGACCAGACACAGACTTGAGGCCATGCCTCCATCACCCACCAACACACACCCAGAACTATGTTCCACCAATCCCTGGGGAAGATCCCAAATTTAATCAATTGATGCAGTGCCTTACCTGTCACAAGTATATTTTGTGTATTTAAAGTAACAAAGGAGGAACTGACTAGACATGTTGAAAGCAAAAGAGAAATAGTTAATAAGTTAACCTACTAGAATATAGGGCACACATTACAATTATTTTTGAGAAGCAAATGAGAGGAAGTAGTGAAGAGAAATTATAAGCACAAGGGTATACAGTAACGAAATCTAACATGGAATCGGGACTGCAGAAGGATAAGAAATGGTGAAAATTTCAGAGTCAGTATTTAGAGATTCAAAACTGAAGAACTGACCCCAGCTTTTAAGAAGCACCTAGTATTTGAAAAACAATTTTTTTTTTAATTTTAAAGAGAAAATCATTTAGAACTCTTAAGAAAGCTAGAAAAAAAAGAACTAGAAAAGTAAGAGGCAATTTGGAGATAGCCAAAGAGAAAACTATAAAAACTTACAGAGGGATAAAATTGGGAGGGGATTCAGTGTTCTCTTAGTCACTTTCTTCATTGTTGAGATATAGTATCCAATACCTGCAAATTAAATGAGGAGAAGTTTATTTTAGTTCACAGTTTCAGAAGTTTCAGTACATGGTTGACAGGCTCCCAGGCAGAGGAAAGGCTTGCCAAAGGGAAACACTATTCACATCATGGTGACCAGGAAACAGAGAAGGAAGAGAGGTGCTGCCTCCAATGACCCTCCTCTTCCAACAAGGCCCTACCTCCTAACAGCACATTTAACTATGAAGTCATTAGAGGAGTAATTCACCAATGAGCATAGTGCCCTCATCCAGTGAAGTTCTAAACATGAGATTTGGGCAGGAAATCTGGATCAAAACCATGACAACTGCTATCTCCATCCATAGTGGGAGCCAAGAACTACAAATATAGCTCAGTGAAAGAATGCTTGCCAAACATGTAAAAGGCCCTGGGTTTAATTCCTAGTACTTCCAATAAAAAGTGTGGGAGTCAGAAGAAAAGGCGTTCAAAGGAAACAGTTAACAATGACACCAGAATCTGTTATTCCTTAAGAATTTAAATGAAATTTGTCACTGTGTAAGTAAAATAACTGGACATCATGAATTAAAAAGTGAAGGGATATGATAGATGTTCTCAGTGTATGTAACATACAGCCACATGATTTTGTGCTGAAGCAAAGCAAAGGTACATATATAGAGAGTATGTGGACACAACTAGATGGAAACAATAATTTCACTGGGGAAAATATTTTCTTGGTAAGTGACAGAAAAAGATCAAGAAAGACAAGCTAAGACTGAGGAGCTATTAACTGCTGGAGATTATCATAGTGACTAGAGGCAGCAGTCTAATGAGATGCTTGGAAGATGTGCATCAGTATATGCAGGTTCTCAGAAACAGGGTGAACAAATGTAGATATGGGAAGGCAACCTGAAGGAGATGACCACCAGATGAATTCCAGTATCAAGACTGCTTAGGAAAAGAAGTAAATTTCTTTTGCTTCTTTTGCAAAGAAGCAAGTCGTCAAACACTGGCAAACTCTATGCCTGTGGTGTATCTCACTCACTACCCACCCTCCAAACACTGCATAGCTTGGTGCCTGTGCTAAAAAAAATTCACCAACAGCAAAAGGTGCTGAACTCTAGGTCCTAAACACCACTGAATTCACAGGCTGTACAAAGACTTGGGGCAGCAGAGAAAAAGTTTGAAAGCTGGAGAAAAGTATCATGGCTAGAAGCGGTTGAATGTGCAGATCTGTGCTAACTCAGAGCAGTTCAGAAATAGCAAATATAAACAGCTGATGGGGTCATCATAGAGGGAGGGTGGGAGTGTTAAAGAAGGCTCCTTAGGGAATTGGCAGAACACTGGATACTACAGAAGACTGACCACACTATGTCCACTCCCCTTCTGACATAACTGAAGGTACCTGAACATAAGACAGAAGCAAAAACCTCTAGCTATTCATGCCCACAGGAGTATAGCTAAAGTCTAGCAGGGCTTTGCCTGCAGGGGAGATGAGAAGCAGGCTCAGTAGTCCATCTGGACTTCTCACCCTTTCATTCACTAGTGGACAAGAAAACAAGTCATAGGAGGGGAACCAGCTCAAGCAACAATAGACACACTCAATTAACCGAATGAAGGAAGTAAAAGACTGCTACCAAGAAAAGCAAACTACAGTATTCTGAAAAAGGAAATTGAAGAGAACATCAAAAAATGGAAAGATATCCCCTGTTCTTGGATAGGCAGACTCAATATAGTCAAATGGTCATACTTCCAAAACCGATACAGATTTAACACAATACCGATAGCATTGTCCACTGTACTAGAAAAAACCTAAAATTCATATGGAACTAGAAGAGACCCAGACTAGCAAAACCAATCCTGAGTAACAAGAGCAAGGCAGGAGACAACACAATTCTTAATTTCAAATTATATTACAACACTACAATGTTTTAAAAGCATGGTACAGCATAAAAACAGACATGTAGATCAATGAATAGAATAGAGGATGCAAAACAACCCCCGGCACATTCATCTATCCGAGCTTTGACAAAGGGTCCAAAACAAACACTTTTAACAAATGGTACTGGGAAAACTGGCTACCGATATGGAGAAGATTGAGTCTGAACCCACATATCTCATCATGTACTAAACTAAAATCAAAATGGATGAAAGATCTAAATGTTAAAAGAATTTGCTAGAAGGTACAATAGGTAAAACTCTTGAAGACATAGGCATAGTCAAGGACTTTCTGAACATGACCTCAACTGTACATGAAAGAACATCAAGAATCAACAAATGCAACTCAAATTCACCCAACTAGGAATGAAAAGGGTGAAATCACAAGGAATCCTGCAGAAATCCAGATCATCCACACCTACTCTGAAAACTTGTATTCTTATAGGATGGAAAATGCAGAAGAAATGGACAGATTCCTAGATACATATCAATTACCAATGCTAAATCAAGAAGAAATAAAAATCCTAAATAAACCAATATCAATCAGTGAAATTGAAGATGTAATTAAAAACCTACCAACAGGGGCTGGGGATCTAGCTCAGCGGCAAAGCGCCTGCCTGGCAAGCGCAAGGTCCTGAGTTCGGTTCCCGGTACCAGAGAAAAACCAAAACCAAAAAAAACCACCACCACAACAACAACAACAAAAAACCTACCAACAAAGAAAAGCAGAGGCCCTGACAGATTCACTGCTCAATTCTATAAGAAATTTAGGGAAGACCTAACACCACTACTTCTCAAACTCTTTGATGAAACTGAAAGGGAAGCAATACTCCCAAATTAATTCCTGGAAGCAAGCATTACCCTGATACCCAAACTGGAGAAGGACCCAACTAAGGAAGAGAACTATGGGCCAGTCTCCCTAATGAACATAGAGGCAAAAATCCTCAATAAGATACTAGCAAAGAGAATGGAGCAAATCATCAAGAAGATTATACACTATGACCAAGTGGGGTTCATCCCAGGGATGCAGGGATGGTTTAACATATGCAAATCAATAAATGTAATACACCATATTAGCAGAGGCAGGGACAAAAATCACTTGATCATCTGAATAGATGTAAGAAAGCTTTTGATAAAGTCCAGCACTCATTCGTGATAAAAACCTTACATAAATTGAAATAGGTGGTCTTTACCTGAACCTGACAAAAGCCATTGATGACAAACCAACAGCCAACATCATACTAAGTGGACAAAAACTGAGAGCTTTAACTCTAAAATCTGGAACAAGACAAGGATGTCCACTGTCCCTAGTCCTGTTCAACATAGTTCTGGAAACATTAGCCAGAGCAATTAGATGAGAGAGAAATAAAAGGAATAAGAATAGGAAAGGAAGAAATTAAATTATCATTATTTGCAGATGACATGGAAGACCCCAAAACTCCACTAAAAACTGCTAGGTTTAAAAAGCAAATTCAGTAGCATAGTTAGATGCAAAGTCAACATTCAAAAAACAATAGCCTTCCTATACGTGAATAACAAACTCACTGACAGAGAAATTAGGGAAACAATACCTTTCACAATAGCATCCAAAAACCCCCACAGAAAAACGAAATACCTAGGTTTTCAATGAAATACATTGAAAACTACAGTACCCTGAAAAAGGAGATTGAAGTGGATCTTAGAAAATAGAAAGATATCCCTTGCTCATGGATAGGAAGAACCAACATAGTGAAAATGGCCACATTCCCAAAACTGTTGTACAGATTTAATGTAATCCTGATCATAATACCATTAGTACACCTTACAGAACCAGAGAAAACATTCCTAGAACTCATCTGGTACCAGAAAAGACCTAGAATAACAAAGGCAATTCTGGGCAACAAAGGTAAGGCAGGGGGCATCACAATCCCTGAACTGAATTTATATTGCAAAGCTATTGTGATAAAAATCAGCATTGTACTGGCAAAAACACAGATCTGAGAATCAGTGGAACAGATTAGAAGATGCAGACACAACTCCAGACACACTCAGCTACCTTATGTTTGACAAAGGTGCCAAACATTTTCACTGGAAGAAAAATACCATTTAATAAATGGCCGAAGACTAAAACTGGACACATGTCTATCACCATGCACTAAACTAAATTTAAGATGGATCAAGTATCTAAATATTAAAACAGAAACACTGAATCTACTGGAAGAGAAAGTAGGTAGAAAGCTTGAAAACATTGATGCACACAAAGAATTTATGAATAAAATCCCTATCACACAGGAACTATCACAAAAAATCAGCAACTGGGATCTCATCTTATTAAACAGCAAATAAATACATGAAAAAAAGTTCAACATCACTGGTCATATGAGAGATGAAGATTAAAACAACAATTACATTTCACCTTACCACAGAAAGAATGACTGTCATTAAGAAATCAACCAATAACAAATGCTGACAGGGCTGTAAGGGGAAAGGAACCCTTCTCCACTGTTGGTGGGAGTGGGAGTGTAGACTGGTACAACCACTGTGGAAACCAGTGCGGTGATTCCTCAAAAGACTAGGATTAGAGGTCCCCTTTGACCCAGCTATTCCCCTTCTGGGTATCTTCCCAGAAGAATTAAAAACAACATACCACAGTGATATATGTCCACCCATGTTTATAGCAACATAATTTGTAATAGTTAAATCTTGGAAACAACCCAAATGCCCATCAACTGAGGAATGAATAAAAATGATGTGGTCTTTTTATACAATGGAGTATTACTCAGCAATAAAGAAGAATAAATTGGAGACTTATATAGGTAAATGGATGACTTATATAGACTTATATAGGTAAACGGATGCAACTTGAGACCATACTCATAAGTGAAATAAATCAGTCAGAAGGTAGAAGATGTGCATAAATACAAAAATATAATAAAATTCAAGGTCACATTACAAGGAAACACATGTTAACTAAAGAGATCTCCACAGCAGTAACACAGATTTTCTACCCTAACTGATCTTCAACCTTTAGCACAAAAACAATAGAGACGTGAGAAGACAGGGAACAAGATGCCTTTCCAAACCCTTAACTCCCAAAAAGCTGATTTCATGGGCAATGA